ACAACTGACAAAACCAACACAGAAGACTGCAGATTTTTGGCTCAACTTTGCAGCTTTCGAAACAAAAGTCATGTACAACAAGTTCAATAAACATGGATATAATTGCTGGATGGACACAGCTGGAAAATGAAACGGACTGCATACTTAAGGCAATTGTTGAAATCAGTCCGGGATCAAGAGGACGAACACAAATTCGAGACAGGAAAGTAATCTGGCTTGAGTAAGTACGTCCGGTTAGCACGGTTGGCTACATACTGTACGGTGTTTGGGCAGGACAATTCTTGAGAAAGGGAGGATGGCTGGTGGACGAAACTGGTGAGAGAATTACGTCTTACAAAAAAGATAAAAGAATAAATGAACTCATATGCCGGAGCAGGATGGATCATGGCACCTCGTGCCCATATGAGATGGAGTTATTCATCCAGCAACATGTGTATTCTGGCTAAATATGATGAATAACATCACAAGTTCACCAAGTATAATAATTGTTGGAGGGACACGACTCGAAGACAACGGTGTGTATCGACCTCGGCTAATCGTTGAAGGTGGATAAAGATCATCACGATCACATGACAAGACGGGCGAGAGCCGAATGGAGAGCTTTTTTAAATCCTTTATATTAAGTTCACTTGCTTGCTTGCTTGCGCGCTTACGACCGTGCAAATCTTTCAGTCGTTTTTTAACCCACTTCCCGTGATCCAATCGACCTGACATTTTGCACACAGACTCGTTGTGCGTGACAATTTATTTTCGTGAAATGTTTTTTTCCATAACTACACTTTTTAGGAATTTTTTTAAAATATTTAATTACCAATTGCTTAATGGTGGCAGGCAATCATCTGACCCATAGGTGGCAGCCATCTCAAGCCAGAGGACGAGAGGACTCTAGCCGCCACGCATATAAAGGATTTATAGTGAAAAACTTTGTTTTTACGGGTTAATATACAGCACCGATGTGCTTCAAGAAGAATGTTTTCGTTCAGTGCACATTACTTGCTATGACATCTTGATCATATGGACCTTCACGGACAGAGACATTTGTGCAAAGGCTGAAATATGAGTGAAGCATGGAGAGATGCATGTTAGGAATTATTGCTCAGAGACAGAAAGAGGAAAACACGTGGACCAGGAAACAAAACACAAATGAGAGACATCCTATTGACTATAAAGAAAAGGGGGTTTGGGCAGGACACATCCCCAAAAGGAACGTTGGCCGATGGTGATGGAATGGCACCCAAAGGAGAGAAATTAGCCACGACGATGACCACCGCAAACGTGGAGCAATGATATCAACACATGTTGAAGAAGAACATGTAAATTGTAGCATAACAGGGCTGCAAGGGATGACATCGGCGCGAAGGAAACCTTTAACGAGCAGTGAATAGAGCATGGCTGATGATGAAGAATGCATTATGATGGACGATAGTGTGTAAGATCTAACTCTACACAATCATCTTGCACGGTGGGTTTAAAAATGACCTTTAGTATTGGACAAAAGAGATCACGTACAGAGGGGCAAGGTCATCCGTGATAATTTTACAGCGCTTAAATGTCTAAATGGCTCAGAATATGCTTGTTACCTCGGGATGATCATCCCAAGTGAAACAAGCAGTGTGTGATGCATGCGACTCGTAATATATTAAAATGCCATGTCACCTTCTACGTGTGAACATGTCAGACGCAGCACGCCATTTACTGTACAGCTCACGGCTCTATTTTTTTGTAATTTCCTATCCAAAAAGGATTATCCAAAGGAGGTGAAGTGGTGGTGCAGAGGTTTGTGTACTGCACTTTGAACCCGGCTACCAGAGTTCAACTCCCAGCCACAGCAACCTTGGTGAGATTCATCCGAATCGGTGCGAAGCCCAGTGGTGCAGCTGTCCGATGTGCAGGCGGTGCAACTGCACCGAGAGCCAACGGGATGGAAGGGGCCAGCTTCTGGGCCACAAAGAGAGTACACATTGAGTGGCCGATCCCATTTCATTATTTGCACCAGGGACCATGCCAACCACGCTACAACAACCTCATTCGCCACTAAGTGGTGACGTCACCACGGCGCTTGTGCCAGGCTATGTGCACTTCAAGGCCACGTGAAGTGTCGAACGCCCGCTGGCAGGTCACGGGAGAGACCCAAGTGCCATGGGTTGACTGACTGCGATGACTGGCAGATGCACCACCTGTGCCCCCTGCTGAGCCAACTTGCTGTTTTATCAGCCCGGCGCTCCGCTCTTTGTTGTGAGCGTCACTCCTCTGCCCCCCGTTGTTGCTGGAGGGCGACTGCCTCCAACTGCCCAGTAGCAGCGTCCTTCACGAGCCTCCTCCATAGAGGCCGATCTTGACACCACTGGTCCCAATCATTGGCAAGTCCACCCAAGTCCATCTCTTATCTGGCGGGACCCACTGGTCACCAAGCCGTCCTGATCAGCGTGGTGAAGTATCCTCAAGAAGTTAATTTAAAGTGACTGCATTTTTTTTATTATCAAAAACGGTTTGCGGCCATTTGAGCAATGGCCAGGATATTGGCATCAGCGGCGTCGACTAAGAGCAGTTAATCTTCTTTTAACAAATAACACTCGGTTAAACAGGATCATGATGTCCACATTGGAGGGAACTTCGTTTCTAAAATATGGCACTTCATATGAACCACAGTGTGGGCTTGCTGCAAAGATGCCAAGTATGGAATGTCAAGAGGATATTCAAAACATAACACATTTGTTCAAAGTTTGTTTCCATGAATTTCTATTCCAATTATAACTACAGGAAGTTCGTTTATAAAATATGGCACTTCATATGAAACACAATGTAAGCTTGCTGCAAAGATGCCAAGTATGGAATGTCAAGAGGAGATGCGAAACATAAAACAGTTGTTCAAGATGTTTAAATGAATTTCTATTTCAATTGTAACTTCGGCATAGTGTAATAATATAAGTTAATATTATAAACTAGGGGTTGTTCAGGGATGCCTGCACACGAACGACGCATTCACGCAAGGACCCGATGCTCCGTTTTGAAGTTTTAAAATGAAACATCTTTGAATTGTATTATGTTTTGAATTAGATAGTTGTATTTCTTCATTAAACGCTTATATCATTTTACATCTGGAAGACTTAATTGAAAAGGACATTTCGTGTGAAATTTCTCTCGTCGTTAAGTAGATGGCCTTGCTGGGGGGTTCGGTTCCGATGCGGACTTTCACCTGCTTGGGATTGCGGGATCGAGATAAGGCGACATCGAGCTGCTGGCCGTGCGAGAAGACCGCCGTCTGCAGATCGATTCCAATGTAATCGAACGTCTGTCCCTGCGCCTCCGTCGTTCATGCAGGGGGCGCGTAGATTTGCAGCGCCCCCTGCATGAAAACTGACGGAAAGTGCAGCGTTCATCACAGATAAAGTTGTGCGCTTATTTAAGAGTATAATAATATTTCTCACGTTATATTTTAGTGGAAATATGGTAATCAAATAACTCTGCAATTCTAACAATGTGACACGAGATGGCAGAAGAGTGCAGTAAGGCCATGCAGTCGACGAGAAGAGTTAATGTATCATGGGACCTCCTTTGCCAATACCACAATGTGAGAATAGGTGTTCCCCTTTTTACTGGCAACAAAACAGCTGTGTTAAGATGTTAAAACACCAATCTGTAACCTTTTACAAGGAATAACGTCTGCATTAACCACAATAAAGGAGGGCCCATGATGTAGCTGCCCACCCCGAGTTCTCATTACTCTGATAGTGCATTGTCTTTGGGCTGTGTTCGCCGTTTGGCGTCCTCTGGTCTAGCACCAATTGAGACGAGGCTCGAAAGAAAGCTGTCTCTGGTGTGGACCAATCAGTTTCAAAGACAATGCATATATTATCAGAGTATTTTTTCGTTTGCATTCTGACCACAAGTATTGTGGTTAAGCAGACATGATTCCTTGTAAAAAGTTTCAGTTTGTTATTTTAACATCTTAACACCTGATTTGTTGCCAGAAAAAAGGAGAAAACCTATTCTCAAGAGTTAATGTTCCCATTAATTGAAATTATGGCTCACAATGCATCAATCGCACGTGTAAATATAAATAGGTTTTTAATGAATGCACATTACAAAGTGATGTTATATTTAGTCTAATTGTACGAACTCCATAAACCAGATGGAAATTAAAAATATATGAAATATATGGTAAAACGGAAAACATGTTTAACAAAATGGGGGGGGGGTATTTAAATCTCTATGATGCAGCCACTCTCCTCGTAACGATGAACTGCTCAGAATGCCCAACCCTACACCGGCCAAGGTTTCTCACCACTTCCGCAGACGCCAGGCTGATCCATTGCAGTCTTCCTCTAACAACTTACACCACCACCCTTTTTGTCCCACGCGTTCAGCCGAGGGTGCATTAAGACTGCTATTTTGAGTGACCCAACTAACTACTTTAAATGCCTCGATGAACGGAAAGCAGTTGATAATGTAATTCCGCAGAGACCTGTGAAGTTGGCTAAACATTTACGTATTTCTAATCACTGCGATTGTGTTCACAATAACAATTTAGTTTGTAAAAGCATTAATTACCCATGAGTAATGAGGTTAAATGTTTCCTTTGTAGCCAAGTGGCAGGATTCCATGAACATGACGTTCGTGCCGATTGTTGGAAGAAAATGGGCTCGCACTTTGAAAAGAAGTGCCTTTATCGTTGCAGGGATAAGTGATGCTTCTAAATAGCTTACCGTGTGTGACTTATCTCAACTCACCCTCAGCTTTTATCCAATGGTTATCGATATCGGCAGTGATACAGCACAGACATCAGGGAGACGACTCGTGCCTTATCCGTCGCGAATGTTACAGCAGGCATAATGGGCAATGGGTTAAGTGGGAGCACCTCTGCAACTTGCCTATATAAAAAAGACCAACAGGGTTTGGAATGTGGACGGGATCCAACACACGTGCCATGCTCACCGGTCCTGATAACAGCCAGAGCGTGCTCCCGAATAAGTCACTTTCCATCGCCGTCTTGTGGACAAGGCAGGCGACTGGCAACCCTGCAGTCATGACGGAATGGGCAGTGTTCAAGCGCCTCCTGGACGCCGTCTACCAGCATTCAACTCTTCTGGGGCAAGTGTGGCTCACGGTCACGCTGATATTTCGGCTCTTGGTCGTGGCGGTGGCGAGTGAAAGCGTGTACGAAGACGAGCAGGCACAGTTCGCCTGCAACACCCTACAGCCAGGCTGCCCGACCGTTTGCTACGACCGCTTCGCACCCATCTCGCATCCACGCTTCTGGATTTTCCAGATAGTCATCGTGTCTTCCCCTTCGCTCTGCTTCCTTATCTACGTGTGGCATATGCTGTCCAAAGGTGGAACTGTCGGAGATGAACGCAAAGGGATATGTCCCATCTCAGAAGACGCCAGCAACAAGGATCAAGCTGACGAATCAAAATGCAAGCCATACGCGGGTGGACCGTACAAGAGTGATGAACATCTACTCTTTCTCTACAGCGAACAGGACACCTTTCGTGACCTAAATGCTGAAACCTGCACAACGAAATGGGGCAAGATGGGACAACCGCGGAATCGAATATGGAACTGCTATGTCCTGCACGTGTGCTGCAGAACTATTCTGGAAGTTGCATTTGTGTTGGGTCAGTGGTTGCTCTTTGGTTTTAGGGTCCCCGTTCACTACAAGTGCCAGGTTTTCCCTTGTCCGCTTATAGTCGACTGCTTTGTATCCAGGCCAACTGAAAAAAAGATCTTCTTGCTGTTCATGTTTTCTGTCGGTGTTTTCTGCATTTGTCTCAACATCGTCGAGTTGAACCACTTGGGATGGAAGAAAATCAAGAGCCTGATCACAAAGCGAAATAATTTGCGTGTGCAAATTGAAGAAACAACAAATCCCATAAGTGCTGCTGAAGATTCAGGTTGCCAAGTCTCCCCTCATCATGATCTACAAGACAATAAAACTCATCTACAAACGAAGTGTTCATCTTCTTCCAGCACTTCAGCAGCTTACGACGATGTGTACGCTCAGGAACATCTCCACCCACACTTGAACTTAGCTCAAAAAATAACTTTGGACAAACAATTCCAAGAACAGACTCTGTACCGTATGGGTGAGGAAAGTGGAGAGATTTCACCGAAAAAGGTATCACGGAAAAACATTGACTTGTGGGTATAACTTGCGGTATCTTAAGGACAAAAAAAAACACATTTGAATGTGTGAATCTCATTTCTGTATTCATACTGTGTATTATGTGCTCAATGTAAGTGTATAAAAACACTCTGTGTGGTTGAGCTTCGACTTTATTGTAACAGCCAAGCAACTCAGGTATAGGATGACAAATCACAGAGGCTTCTTTATTTTGTATTAACAAAGAATGTTAATACTAAGAAGTGAATACAAGATACTGAGGTTTGAGAGCCAAAATCATTCAAATGAACACATTGAACATACATTCAGCGCATCATGTAAAAGTTGTTGTACAGGAAAAGCAAGTGTTTTTTGAACATGTATTTAACTTTGGTGGGCAGTAGCAGTAAGAATGTATTTCAAGTAAATTTCATCAACAATGCATGAAAACAAATGTTGTAACCCATAGCATGCATTTTAAGAATGAAAACCTTTACATTTTCAGGAATGGTCCATGCCTAGTTTGAAAAATCTAAAAGCTGAGTAATGAATGGTGTTAATCTTTTATGGATATAAAACTAGGTTCAACAGCGAATGCATTACCGAACAAAAGATGCATTTTTCACAATGTATTATACGCTATCTTTTTAGTCCAGACATAAAGAAGCATCAATTTCAGTGAAAGAAAAAAAAACCTGATATGTATATTCATGGCAATTTTTATCTTTTGACACTATGTTCCAGTTTTTTGTTGAATGGTAATATCCACAATTGACAGATATATAATGCTGCAATAATAAATAATAAACACCACGTAAGGATGTTTAAAAAATAATGAGACTGTATGTACATCACTGGGTAGATTAATAAAGAAAAAACGATCGTATAAAATGCGGCTTGAAAAAAGCAATGAAAAAGGGGTACAACTGTTTCGTGCCACAATGTATTCTTACTTCTACTACAACCATTGATCGCGCATTAACCATGTGTCACAATTTTACATCTATTTCGCATAATATTCCAAACCAAGTGTAATATTTTGTTCCTGGAGTGCTCCAATGTGCATTTGTATGTCAATGTGTACAATGAAGAGAGAAACACCACGATCAAAATAGCACTCACTATTTCCCATAAGAATTGAAAGACCTCATCCAGGGAAATACTTTACAAAACAAAAAACGTAATAATGATCAACGTGTATACACGTAACATATTTGAAAGTTAAACAAAAACAACGATATTTATATTTTTCACTACAGACACAAAAGCAAATACTGTAATATGAAGATGTATTTTTTGTAATCTTTCCTGCATTACACATACGTCCCTTTCAGAGTCTGGATATCCAGAAGCAAGCATTTTAATCTGGGACATAAAGACCTCTGCATGCACAACACTCATATTCAAACTAAAAAAAAAGTTTAAGTATAATGAGAAATACATGTTTTTTTTTAAAAGTGGAATGTTTTCGTTGTTCCGAAATGGACATTAACATACCTACTTTATGTTGATATGCAGATTAGCGTTGCTAGACATTACCAACTTTTTATCACATGGAGCCGTGTGAAAGTTGGTTCACAGAGCGGTGCAGTAAATCTGCATTGGCATTTTACAGTGAATCAATGAATACTTTGTAATTTGTAAATTTTACATAGTGTTTTAATTATCCTTTGCACAGCAACATATGAATAGCGTTTAAGCAATTAGCATGCTGCACATATATCCTCTGAACCGTAATAATATGCTATGTGTGACATTACAGTATGGAGTAATTATTGTTGTTTTAAGCTTGAGACGTGCTGAGCATAAAAAGATATCTAATTTTACTTCTTAAAGGGTTATGCAATTTGTCCAAAAGACAAAATTGCAGAGCAATAAACATACTATCCAACACATTTCAAAATGGAAGCACAGCATATATTCTTGCAAACCTATCTTAAATGTTGCAAATGTCATCGTGTGCGGATCACAAACGATTCATTGCGGCCAATGTCACATTATAATGTGCTAGCCATATTGCATGTAGGTCAATACACCGGAGATAAAGGGGACCACAACAACAATAATACATTTGAGGGAAGCTTAACGATAACGAGGCGGCGAAGGGGGACTTGTCGATTTTTTTTTTAGTGTTGAAGTGGTACGATCACGTCCACGTAGTTGACTGGGAAGAATCCCGAATGGCCACGCACGGTCCCCTCGTACCAATTGTCATCGATCTGCTTGGTGAGTGTGATGATGTCTCCCTCCTGGAAGCCCAGTTCGCCCTCATTCTCCGGATCAAAGTCGTAAAGAGCTTTTGCGCTTGGAGCTAGACGCCATGTGAACAGAAGCATCGGGAGAACACGCGTGGCACGACAAATTAGAACGTGTACACCAGCAACAATGTCAACCACCAACTTCCTGTAACTGCCTCTTGAGATTCTGGAGAGAGAACAAGCATTTTGTGATATATCGGTAGGGAAAGATAAATGTATTATTACTCGGCTGCAAAATGTGTAATACTTAACAGAAAGGGTACTTAAAAAACTCCCACAACCTGAAAACATGCAAAAATATATAAAGTGTAAAGATGGTAACATATTGACAGCTTTCCCATCAGTTGACAAAGAGGTTAAATGTGTCAAAGTTAGAAATGCGCGCACACACACACGTGCTGTACAAACCATATTTGAAAACAATGTACAGCAATGTCTCGCTACTGCATTAGTTTTATGAGAATATTGTACCAAGTGGTATCACCAAATTGCAGATGCAGTCTTAAAAGATAATTAGGGTAATACCCAAAAACAAATGTAATTTCTCTTACTGTTTTGTGCACATCAATACTGTGTTTAACCTAAATAAAGTTAGATATTTAGCCGTCAAGTAACACTTGCTTATATATATAAAAGGGAAATTTGTGAATGTGTGTCTGTTCGAAATGTTTAGCATACTTCCCAACATGCAACAAACTTGAAATTTGGCTTGTGGGTAGCTTCCAAGCTGTACACAATGCAAAAAGTATAAAAATAGACTTTTGTATTTTGTGGGGGGGGGGGCAATAATGGATATATTTTGCACGGCAAGTGAGCTGTGACGTCATCTGTGATGTCACCCGCATGCGGCAGCGTCACACAGTGTGCCTGCTGACGTCACGTATCCCCCCCCCACCCTCCGCGTAGGCCGTGGATTAATCCAAGACAAGAATCCAAGTCCCGGGCAAAGCCGGCTAGTAAAGCTAGTTCTTTAATAAAGTGTCAATATCCAGATGTTTTGGTAACCTGAAGGTGTGGCATTAACTCAACTCAGTGGTTCTCTCAACCTGTGTCACTCTACGACCTTTACGAGTTCATGAGCAAACACTAAAGTGATATTTATAAGCACCCACTGTATGCCATGGTTTACAAATCGGTCATATGAATCATAAACGGCATTCCTTTGCAGTGTACATACCAATATATTCTCTTATTTGAAGAGGCAATATGCATATATGCTATATATACATTGTACATTTTACAGTTGGGGGGGGGGGGGATCCAGAAAATAGATTCACAAAGCATTTTGGAATGCAATGGATAACTTATTAAAACCACTGCGAGGAAAAAATATTACTTATAAATCGTATGAAATAAAAAAAAAACTATTAACTTTTTATTTTACCACGTAAGGCCCAATTTAGCTATTAAGCTCTTTTTCCAAAGCAGCCTGGCCACAAATGATGGCTGAACGAAGTGGCTCATCACATGGAACTGTATAGCAGCCAAATACTCTTTAAACACACGATTCTAAATGTGTAGGGAAAAACAAGAGGACCCGGAGAAAAATCCACGCGACCACGGGGAGAACATGCAAACGCCAATTATACAACAGATGTCAGGATCGGAATCAAACTCATGACCTTCTGCATACCAGGCGAGGCAGTGAACATTTCACCACCGCAGCGCCCCTAAAAAAATTACCGATCCAAAGACTGCTACTGCAATTTAGACCACGGTTAGGGCGCAAGTTCTAGAAACATTTACATCATGTAATATCCCCATACATTTTTGGAGTTTACAACAGTATATATTAAGGTAATGTTACAATTTATGAAAATGATAACTTAAAGAAAATCTATTGCAAAGTTAAACAATTACTCCAAAAATGAGGATTATTTCCATGACGATGCTCCTCCACGCTCTTGGTGACACTTCCCACAGCCAGTTAAAAATACACAAGAAAAACCGCTGTAAAACATGCATGCATTCAGCACAGATTTTAACATACATTTTTATATACATTCAACTATTAACAACTGGAGGGCGTAGGGGAGGTTTCTTTTTTTCCAATCGCCAAAAAAATATATTCTTCAAATGGTTGGCTTGTTGTATAAAGTATATACACAATACTTTTAGTTGAAATGCAACTATGTTTACAAAGACTGTAGTAATAAGCTGGTATTTTGGTTAGAGGGGATAAAAAATCGGTGCAGAATGCTAAGGTATGCATATCTTACAGAAAGAGACCAAAGTGAGTGTGTGCGTGAGCACAGGATGAAAAATTCCTTCAATTGACTCATTAAAAGAAGGTTTGGGTTTACTTTCCCAGAAAAAGATTCTGATTCCCGACTCACTCTGAGCCTTTTTACTAAATGACCGGCTCGGCATTCCAGGAGCTTTTGAAGCAAGTGGAGCTGCACAACATGAAAATGAAGATCATGGTGAGCACACGGTTTCAAAACATTTAACAAATCATAACCTCCCATAAATAGGCCAAACACAAATAGCAAAATGTTAATAACACCCTTGAAAGCATTATATTTCAAAATCCTTGATTTTCATAATGAATAAAATAGTAGTATGCATGTATTCGTATGGTTGAGATTAACCAACTACATATCCATGTATAACCACTGTTAGTGACAGTGTAACACAGTACCTGGAGACCTAGAAGACGAAGACGCAGACGCAGACGCTGCCGGAAAAATGTTCTCCCCTCCGCCGTTGCCCCAGCTGTTCTCGTGAAACGTCGACATCGGTTTTGCTTTAAATTCTTTCTTTGGCATCTTTGATGCCTCATTTTTCCTGTGGAAAATACACACACGCAAATGTTCTAATACTGGCAAAAGACGTTGTCGCAAAATGACAAAAAAAAACAGTTTTTTTCAATGTGGTGAATTTGAAACGTGAAGGTAAAACGTTAAGATGTTTTGAAGATCTTTTTCCTTGCGGAGGGAATTGGACAAGGTGTGTTTGACTCTTAAAATGTAACTCGTAAGAATGATTAAGTTGTGAAGGACTGCGGCGCCGTGGAGTCTCACCTCTCATGGAGAGCCGCTTGCAAGTCCTGCAGCACAGCAGCAGATCTTTGATGATATTCAAGCTGTGCATCGACCAGGGCTGCTAGTTGAGATACTTGCTCAATCTGAAAAGAACACGGGGGAATACATATGCTTGTTCTCTTGCTTTGCAATTTGAGGAATATATTTCCATAAAATATTCAGTAATTAATTCTAATGTTGATGTATTTCCCTTTCCCATCCATAACAATCTCTACACACCGATTACTTAAACTAATATCCATCTTACATTGCATAATGTGCTTACGGAAACAAAATAAAAATTAGTACTGTAATGACCTCATTAAAATCAGATTCCTGCACTAGAAACAATACTGTATCATTAAAAATAAATGCCATACATGATATTGATTAACATATGCCAACGTCATGCCTCCTTCCCATCCAATCACCCTCCACCCCGGCTGTGTATCCCACACATATGCATGGGCAGTGTAACTTTGATATAAAGTTTACATACAATGTGTGGTATTTAGGATATCACCTGATAGAGCTTCCAGTAGATCATCTTTTTTAGGCAACATCAACAACATTTGCAATTTAAGTTTCTCAGTCAAATATATGTTTATCTTTAATAAGCCCCGCATCCAAAACATCAATTAGCTGTTCTATTGGCAGTTGTTTCATTCGGAAAGAACTGTACATTAAAAGGGTTACTTTTAAGCAAGTTGAATTATTTACACGTAGTCCTAGATACCAAAAATCCTTAATGTTTGCACAGCTGCAAATGGAACAGTCAATGCTGGGGGGAGGTGGGCAGGGTATATTTTATGACCTATATACATGTAATATATCTAACCCAAATTGATAAGACTTTGACAAAAGTTCTAGAGGGATTAACTCCAAAATGTCTCACAAGAAAAACATTTCAGCTGCAGTGTCCGCTTCTCCTTATCATTGTGGCCAGGTCGCTTTTGAAAAAGCGATAGAACTCAGTGGGCCTCACCTGGTAAAATAAAAAGGGTAGTAGGAGTAATTGTTCCCTACTGCAAACTTTTAATTCACCGTTAAAAAAAGGACTGGTTTTATTTTCTTGCAAAATCACAATGCAATAAATGAATACGCAATTTCTCCGCAAATAACTTCACTGCACTAGTTTGTTTTTTTCTGAGAATGCAATTAATTTATGGCCTCACCACATTGGGTCCGGGTCCTTGCCCACCAAATTGCTTGCCTGCATTGAACGGCCAACTTTTAACTGGACGGTAGCTTTTAAGTGTTAGTGCTGTGGGAAAGCATTAATGTGTGCTGTGTCTAGTGTGATGCATAGATCTTGACATTTCACACAGATCCATTAGTTTCCTTCTCAAAGCCTTTGGCACTATCAATCAGAGGTGTGGACTCGAGTCATGTGACTTGGACTCGAGTCAGACTCGAGTCATGAATTTGATGACTTCAGACTCGACTTGGACTTGTATAACAATGACTTTGTCCCACCTCTGCTATCAATATAAACCTAGCGTTCCTACAGATTACAAAGCCATTATAATACACTGCACAAGCAAAACAGTCTATAATGGATCTTCACAACCGCAGCAGAACACCAACAGGCCGATGCGGACATTTTAAAGACAAGCCACAGTGGGAATGTGGCCACGCCATGGAAACTATGGACCATTTAGCAAACCTACTTCAACGGAGGAATATATTTGCACGGTTTGCTATTATGTACGGTGTGAAAGAAGTTCAACATACATACAAACAAAAAAAAACACTTTTTTCCGAAGCCTTCTTGTGGCTAGCAGAAATAATTTAAAGTACAAAACAACAAAATATAGCTTTTTGAAAGTTGGACATTGTCAGGCATTATTAAATTAAAAATATAGATTTGTTTAATGTTTCTGAACATTTTACAATGACTAAATTCATCGCTAATGAAGACCAAAGCAAATATTCACATTATTTATGATAGTTTATTTATTAGAACTCGTAGAGTAAGACAGTTGTCAATCTTGATTTTATTTGAAGATTTCGTGACTGCAGGAATCCATACTCTCTGATTCTTTTGGTAAAGTCACGTAGGTAAAAAAACAATAAAAGAAACACGACGGTTCGGTCGCAACACAAGCGCCCGTCACCTGATGACTTTACCAAAAGAACCAGAGAGTCCAGCTGTCAATTTTATGTTTTCACAATCCGGTAGCCGTCGGAGCAGAAAAACTGATCTGTTTTTTACGTAATAAAATGGCAAAATGGCTGGAGTGTTTTTTTACTATCCAGTGTTTAATGAATATTCTGGAAAAATAATTCCACGAATAGAAGCACAAATTGAAAATTTAGAACAATTGTAGATGAACCTCATCAGTCTTCTGTATTCGTTATTCCCACCTCTTGGTGTCACTATCTAGTACATGTATTCCAAACTTCTTCCACCGTTTCGGTGGCAATATCCCACAGCCACTTGTAAAATTGTTGATTTTGTTGGGGTGGAAAGGAGCTCAGTAAGCAGCCAGCCAGAAAACTCGAGACGTAGATTGTTTAACAGTTTTATGATTATTTACATTTACACTACATCTGGCCAGGACACATCACAAGAATAAATAACAGCTGATGGAAAAGACAAGTGACAGAATGGCAGCAAAAGGAGAAAATGTATATATGTCGAACTTTGTTCGTACCACACGTAGCCAACTGTGCTAAATCGGAGGTGCAGGAGAAGGACAATGTACAAGGAGGTGCCTAAGAGGAACCAACACCCCGGTGGTGGAGCAATGAAACAAGTTATACTGTAGGAGAAATAGGAACTTCAGAATCGCAGGATAGGGAACTGGGCAACAGCCTTGGGAAGCCTTCATCCTGCAACAGATGATAATGATAATACAAGACTCACCTCACTCTCCACCAAGTTGTGCATGCTGCTGGCCGCTACCTCCCGCGACTCCTCAAACTTCTCCTCTGCCTGCCGAATCTCCTCATCTGGGATCTTTCCCAGGCGCTTCTTCTTGTAATCGAAGTCCAGGCGACGTCCTTCCAGCTTCTTCAGGTGATGCTGCGAAAGGTGTTAAAAAATATATTTCCAACTATATAACAACTTGTTACAGAAACTGTCCATGCATATCATGTTAAACTGAAACCCTAACCATCAGCTTTGGCAGTACTTTACAATTGGAACCAGTATGATTCAGATATTAAGTTAAGTGACAAAACATTTTATATTTTGTGGATCACTTGGGCGCCTTTAAATAGGAAGTCACCCCACATACTGCCTTCCGAAGGCAGGAAACCCCCTACAAGCCACGCCCAGTGGGACTCAGCTGATAATTCTGATGTCAATAAGCCTGGTCCCATCACCTCCAAAGAATGGCACATGAGAAAGGGAGGGTTTTTTCCCACAACTGTTTACGTATTACTCATTAGACGTGTAATCAAACCTATGTGTAATAGAAAAAGCAAATAATATAACAGCCTAGCTCTTTTAACAACTGTACATTTACGACCTTTATTTGCAACCCGATATGTCGTTATGTTCGACCTCTTCACACTGCAGCAAGAGCACATCGGTTTTATAAGTAAGCTTGTGTTATTACCCCAATCTCTTTGAGCTCTTTATCTTGAAGCGCTTGCATTGGATCGAGGAAGTTTTGTTTGACATCAATATCCAGGGAATCTTTTATTTCTGCCATCTGTTTCATCGATTCTCCAACATCAGCCAAGGCCAATCCTAAAACACACAAAATCGGGTCAAAAATATCACCCACGATTTTCTGGGGCTCTAAACGTTTCATTGAAATTTATATATATATACACACAAACACTATACTGCAGTTGTATGTTTATATTATAACACAAGATATGCAGAGTTTCATTTAAAACGCTCAATGGTCCATTGCTTGAAAAATATAGCACCAATATAAATTATCGGTAATGCTCATATGAATTGGATTCATGGCTGACCAGCCACTGAGCAAGAAAAATTATAAATTAAATACAGTAAATATACATATTCTTAATAAAGTAGTACTTACCAAAGCAAGATTCTGTGCCCATGTCTTTGCCATACTTGGCCATGGCTTCTCCCAATAAGCCCTCAGGCTGGGGGTAGCCTGTAGACTTAACCTGCCCACGGATCTTTGACATGGTGTTCAACATCCCCAACTTTGCTCTTGATGCTAAAGAGGAGATACCACAATTTTATCAACATTATCATCGCAATAACTCGCTTGAGACACTGGACACTTACAATTACGGTGTTCTCGAATGTCATTCACTTATATGCATCAAACAATTATGATGACAAGACACACTATAGAACGTGCACAAAGATGCAGTTATAGACGAAAGAAAACATTAATAAATGCATGTCCTCACCTGGGTTTGGTTGCAGGTATTCTTGTGTTTTAGTGATAATATCCATAACTGCTTTGTTGGTAGTGTCATATTTCTACAAACAAAAATGTCATTAAACATTTCATTGAACGATTCTAAACCATTGTTCTAAAATAAACATGTTGCTGCATTACAGAAAGCACAATAGGGTTATGGAGGAGGTTGTACGAACCTTTTCCATCTCTGTAAAGTCATCGTCCAACTTGGTGCCTTCCGCTCCTCCCACCTTTTCACTGACAAACTGAAAAAATAAAAATGTCATTATTTTAACAAACTACGAAATGTAATGTCATGAATAGAGAAAATATTCTCAATGTGCCAAGAATGTTGTGAAAAAACTATTGTACCATGAATGGATCACCATTTTAATATCCCAGAAAGACAAGTCCTAAATATCTTCCCCAGTGTGAGTCAAATCAAGAGTGATCACACCATAGCATCTAAGAATGTTAATTGAGTAAATTTATGTTCCACTAAAACATGTTCATATGTACACCCTGTACGATTCGTAACAGTTGTTCGTTTGATAATTGTACAATTTGACAATTTACCAACATTTTTAATTAAAGATGTATTTCCAAAATCATTTTAAAATCCATAAAAATCCATCCATAATGCTATTAGAAATGCTAAATATTGCAGTCAGTTTCCCCCCACCCATTGATAATTGGCGATGCGCGCATAAGTCATCCACGCATCACCACTTTCCAAGGTGACCCCATGCGCAACAACACAGCACAAGCGTTAGCCCACCTTACCATTCACTTCACATACTGTCTCTTGTTGGACATTTGCCATCAATGAAGCTTAGGCCAAATAAAAATGCTCGACTTGTTGTAACATGGATTAAATTCCACATTGGTGCAAAGACTGCATATATACATGTGAAGTCATTTTTACAGTCCACTGCTGGATGAGGGCCTCCCCACACAACATAAACAACATTTTTATATCGCATATCTTGATCCGCTTTGGACTGAAGTATAGGCGGATATAAGTGATAAGATCGAAAATCTGAACATCTAGGAGAAAATCACAATTACACTATGACCAAATACTGTGGTAGGTTAATTGGCTAGGATGGATATGTGACGGTCGGATATGCAAAATTGTGCATTAAGTGTAAACCAGCATTGCCCTCAAAAACTAAACATGAAATACAGATACAGTAACTGTAAAACATATGCACTATCTTTATAAGCCAACAGACACATCAACCACATTCTTCCTACAACACTAGATAGTGTTATTTGGGGATTTTATAAAACATTTTAAAAATGTGTTTCATTGTTAAAACGTTCAAAGTAGTTTGCTCATGTATAGCAAAGTACTTTACATGCTTCATATACTTACTGCCTAAAATGATGTGTCTATAATATTGTAGTGATGCACTTCATTATAATTTAACAACACTAATCGTAATCAATTGTTATATATGCCAGCAATACCTCGGCCAATAATACGTTTTGTGCCTCGGCGCTTCTCAAGCGGAAAGAAAAAGCTTTCTAATTCGAGTGTTCCATAAAGCATGGCTATTCCAGGAGACAAAGTGATAAGCTGATAACACCCTTCAGCAATCAGAGTTCATACCTTGCTGTATCTCATAAACCTTAAATACACTCCCATTGAAGTCATACAAATCTGCAAACTGCAGACAAAGAGCTCAATCGAGGTTAATTTTGGCTTGTAAATAAGAAAACCAAGAATCCAAGCACACTAAAACTTCATCCAGCCAAAAGGAAAATCCTCATTAAAAAATGTTTAAAGATAAATCATGCACATTAGGCCTGGGGCTAAATTACAATTACAATACAGCAGCATTTTTATCTCAAACTACAATTACACCCTTATTAGAATTACGAATGACAAAAATACAGTCACAACTGAACGTGGTTGATGCATATGCATGGATTATGTAATGCATATCAACATGCATTTGTCCTCGGAGATATTTAATTCGCGTTGTCAGTCACTCTCGCGCCAGGCGTGTGCACGAAGCTGTATGGCCACAGGCCCCGATGAGACAAAATCTTAATATTTACTTATATTGGAGGAATCCGATGAGTTACAAAGCTCTTTCCAGATGTCCAGTAGGAGGTGGGTGAGAACGTTATTCCAACAAATGATACGAAAACACAACAGGGCTCGAGTAGCGGCTCTGCCGGGGAGGGCTGCAGGACGAGGCAGAGATCGTTTGGTGCCGAATGGGGTCCTCTAAGTTTTGAGTAAACCCTTTGAATATATATCGGCTGGTTTACTATACAGTGAATTCCTAATACCATTGATTACAGTACCAATGAATTCATAATACCATTGATTACTGTACCGATGAGGATTAAACTAGTCTTACAGTTGTATCGATTCAATGCTGCCTGGTGAGATGGCCACATATTGGTGGTGGAAAACAATCATGACAAGCATTCAGCTCTATCAACCTGGTGGCTTAGACAAGCACGGTACATGCAATATAGTGGTCACATGACATGCATGCAAGGCATGATGGGAGACATGCTTACCTGCTATTTACAAGCACACCTTTGCGTCTTGTTAAATTTAGACATTAAGTACTGGAAACTCAAGCACGTGCCCATGCCTGGCTGGGATGCAATGAGCAGCTAGGAGCGTCCTGTGTAAATGCCTGGCTGTATACTTAATTGCTAAGACACACTTACTTGCTATGATCGTAGACATTTCCTAGCTGTAATAGGTATAGGGAGGGGTAGGCCAAGTCAATAATGGGCAACACAATTCCATAGAAATTATGAAGTTATGATGCTGCGATTACCATATAGTGTCTGTGCCTGAGGTTAGTCAATGCAGTGCTAGAATGCATTATGTGTGCGATGCAGACACTTGCTGTAGACCGTTTCATTGGCCTTTCTACACAATCGTTTCCACCTGCCATGTATTATATTGCTCATGTAACGTTAAAATTAATTTAGTTAGATTGCGAGCTCACCAGAGGGACTAGAATATTGTATTAACTGATAACGTATAATGCACAGAAGGCATGATTTGTCCTACATTACAGAGTACAGGTAGTCCCCTAGTTACGACGGTCCGACTTACGATATTTCAATCTTACGATGGCGATAAGACAAAATTGCCATCAACAACCTAACATCGTTCAAGTATGCAGACGATGGACAGAATCTTGGTAACTACAGCACAATATGATACGTTACGATACGTTCAATGCATGTATGATACGTAGCTTTAGCGATTTCATTTTAAGGTTACCACGATACAATACGTTCAATGCATGTTTAAAGTTTTATAGCAAATAGGATTGTTTCCTGAAAAAACTTTTTATTACATTGCAGTTCATATAGATAGTCTAAGAATTTACCTTGTTTTTTTACTTTACATTTTACTGTGCAATACAGTATTGTAATTAATAAATACATACAGTATATAGTTTATACATTACAGTACTTTAAATTACTCTGTTTTGCTAAATTATCACCATTCTTTAAGACTCCTGGGTAGGCTAGGCCATCTTCGACTTACGATATTTTCGACTTACGATGGGGTCGTCGTAACGCATCTCCATCGTAAGTAGATGACTACTTGTACTACATTAGCATTCAGCCATAAATACTTTAAATGTATCCTCTCAACTGTGGTGCCCCTGGTTAGCAACTGCTCGACAATGGGAATATTCAGATACACGTATAGATATTATGCCTCATTTGCAATGACACTATCAGCAGCTTTGTTTTATTTTAGGTAACTTTGGTATTACAATGAAGCTTCATTAACTGTGGGTGAATTATACGGGTACTGGAATAATCATGCTCGAAAAAAAAAATTAACCCGTAAAAACAAAGTTTTTCGCTATAAATCCTTTATATGCGTGTTCAATGGGCCACAACCCAGCCCACATTGGTCTTTGAAACGGGCGGCTAGAGTCCTCTCGTCCTCTGGCTTGAGATGGCTGCCATCTATGGGTCAGATGATTGCCTGCCACCATTAAGGAATTGGTAATTAAATATTTAAAAAAAATTCCTAAAAAGTGTAACATTTTGGAAAAAAATTTCACAAAAATAAATTGTCACGCACAACGAGTCTGTGTGCAAAATGTCAGCTCGATTGGATCACGGGAAGTGTGTTAAAAAACGACCGAAAGCCTTGCACGGTCGTAAGCGCGCAAGCAAGTGAACTTAATATAAAGGATTTAAAAATAAAAGATCCTCGTGGCTCAGTATCCATGGATAAGATAATATCTTAATCGTCTTAAAGTAAACGGATCAGTTATTACATGCTATGTCTTCTCTCTCATTTTGCATAGGTAAGCAAAACATCTTTGTTGCGTAATTTATATGCGTTTTGCACTTTTTTTTGTTTAATCTGTATCACATCATTAACTAATATAATTGAGAGTTGACATGTCAATGAACATGTAATTTTACTGTACAGCCTGTCAGTATAGGGTACCAGAATGTCTGTGTACCTGTGATAAAATGTTAATAAAAACGTAATCATGTACAGCCCTTTGGTCAATCCACTGCTGGATAAAGGCCTTCTCACACCATGAAGTTATCACGTAAGAAAACAAAAGAAAGACCCATACTTTTATTTAGTAACATGTGCAGTAATGATTACTGATATTTACAGGATAATTAAATTAGTTATCTCCCTGTAGATAAGCAACTTGGCAGATAAGTGGATGTTTAATTTTTGGATCTACATAAAAAGTCTTATCCAGGACTATAATCCACAATAATTGATCATAAAATGCAACTGTCATTTAGAGCAGTCAACCATGATAATCATGGATAACAGAATGATTTTATTGCAAACTCGTGTTGTCTGTTTTACCTACCTTGCATCTGCAACAATGACCATCATCTCCACCCATCACTATCATTTTCCCATCGCTGTTATCCAGGTACAATTGCAGATTATAAGCTTTAACGCCTCACGATTCCCCCCATGATTATCAACCATGACCAACCCACAGCTCAATGGAAGGCCTCCTCAAGTGGTTGTCTAATTGCTCAAGGCCTTACTATGCTGTGGATTAACGTGGAGACCGATCCCACAGACAGGAGGAGAAATGATGTACAACCCAGACACTTTGGATATTTCGAGTCACTGACACGAGTGCTGCTGATGAGAAGTTTCACTGCATTCCTTTACTGACGGTACATTGCATTAAAAAACACTGAGAAAACCGTAGTTAATTTAAAACTCAACAATGTACTCACCGTAGGATGAAAATACATCAAGACCAACAAT